TGAATGAGCTTCTTTGCATTTACCGCCAGGCGTTCCTTATAAACATACAGGGAGCCCGGCCCATAACCATTCGTAATTGCTACAACTAGTAATATAACAAGGCTTTTGAAGTGAAATGAGCATAAAATGTCATAAGCTGTGGCATTCAAGTTAAGATCACAAAATGGTCATTCTCAGTTGAATAAATTTAGCATTTTTGAGACTGCTTAGTGATGCCTCACATAGTAGATCCTACCATTTGGATTTAGAGTCCTACTATCCTAGAAGACAAGATCATAGTGAAACCATTCAATTGTAGGAGGATATAATATAGGTGTGATTCACACAACATCATCACTGAATAGAAAACATTTAGAAAGCTTTAGGCATAATATTGTGTTCATTTGCATTAAATCATCATATACCAACAAAAATCTGTGTTTCTCAATTTTTTGTTTTAATTGCTGCCAGATTCGTGAAGTTAAGGTCATTTTTAAGCACTTTTACAGGTGCTGCTTCAATATTATTGTATTTGTTGTTGCGCGGTTGCTTGGYAAGTTTCAGTTTTTTGTTTGTTTGTGTCCTAGAAAATATTGCAGCATTTGTTTGGCATTTCAGATACTTTGGTTACTCAACACAACTTTATACCTTTTCCATGACCTTTATTACTATTCAGAAAATTAATAATACAATAGCATTTGCCGTGTTAATTTATCTGCTCGTGGTTTTAGTCAGAGTCAGAGTAATCTGTATCTGATGCGCTTTCTTCAGATTCGAAGAGATCTTGCTTGCAATCTTCAAAAAAATTCGTGATTCCTGAAAACTGCATCACTTTGAGGAAATAATAGAATGTGAAGATGTTTTCTATTTTGGGGATGTTTTCCTCGTCCTTCATGGACTCATTTATGCATTCTTGAAGGATTTCAGTGATAGGACTAAGCTTYGYKATAAAACYTTCCTTTTGGTCTATTGATTGCAATGAGTACATTAAATTTGTTCTTGGTAATTCGACTTTGCTCCCATCAGGCASAGAAAAGGTCATGCACAGCTCATGCCAGGTTGGGTAACTTGCTCCATCACCGTGCATTCCTCCATCTATTTTCATCACCGGGCCTCCTTTCATCCTAAATTGTGTTTTGTTRTYAACATGCTTATTGGCAACTGCTCCCGCGGTSWGATTTCCTAAGAAGAGAGTTGTTCTGTTGACCAAGTCCAACATCATCTTCTTAGGGGWCTTTCTGAGATCGTAGTCGGAAACTACATTGGAAAAGCGTTCAACGTCTTCTCGCAACTGTCTTAATAAGGCTGTCTGGGACTTTTGAGCGAAGAATTCTAAAGCAGAAGCGATATGATTTGCGAAGTGAAACACATCTTTTTCATTCTGCAGCCACTGCTCGATATGCTTTTTGATTAGTTGAGCTTTGTTTTCACGATAAAGCTCCAAGACTGGTTGGAGTGATTCCACGCTTGGCATTGCGTTCTTAGCTTCATCTTTGAAGTAAATCCTGTGCTCTTCCTTCAATCGTGGGNAAAGAAGGAAAGTTTAGTAATTCTCAGTTCGGGGAGGAGATTTTCCTCACTTGCAGCTCGTTGAGTGTAAATTCAGGATTAGATTTCGAAAAACTTAGTACTTATTTTGCAAAGAAGGAAAGTTTAGTAATTGTCATTTCGGTGAGGAGATTTGCCTCACTTGCCGGCTTTGTTCGTGGAAAGCAGGTTAACAAATACGAACGCAAAGATACCATTGCAGATTTGATTACCTTCCCGCACAGCTGTTTTCATTTTATATTCGCTCCAAAATTAGGTCGTCGGTCGAGGGGGTTGTTTAAATTCAAATACACTAAAAATTCAGAAACACAACATTTACTTTCTTCAAGTGTGTAACAAAAAAACTGTTACATTTGATTGCCATGTCTCATTTGGTTCTGTAATTGTACCCCATCAAAGATTTTAATTTAAATTTTCAATAAAGCAAACTAGAAATGAGAAATAGAATAATATTTCACTTGGTCCAGTACCAAGTGAAATATTATTCTATTTCTCATTTTGTGATCAAGTTCAAGGTGTACAGGTGTTATAATTGTACCACATCAGAGATAATAATTCAAATTGCATTTTTGATAAAACAAACGAAAACACGAAAGAACACAGCGCYGAGTAATTGAACTTTTTTAYTGTTTAATCCAGTTCATYTTTCTTGCTAAATTAGGTTATTTCTTAAGATAGTACTGAATAAAGACACTAGTTTACCGCTAGTTTCCACCATAAAGAGGTCGTGCCGTTTTGTTTTCTAAATTCAAGAATTCACAAATCTTTTAAAATGATAAATAGTCCATTTTTGATATTGTGATTGAAGGGTTAATACTCNTGGTTGGAGTGATTCCACGCTTGGCATTGCGTTCTTAGCTTCATCTTTGAAGTAAATCCTGTGCTCTTCCTTCAATCGTGGGAAGCGAAAGCACATCCAAACAAAGAATTTATCTGTTATTGGTGGGACTGTATCGCCGAGCTCTTTCTGAAGAAGCTCAATTACTGGTTTCATTGCGGGTTTCACGACTCTATCTATCATAAATTCATTCCATTGATTCATTCCATTATCACTAGGGATAATAACGTCAACGAATTGTGCGTTCTTGATTTTTAAACTTTCACAAGAAATTTTGAATATATCCGTTATGTAATTCCCATTACAATCCACAAGAAATGTTGTAGAAATTGATAACTCTTGACCACAGACTGGCAAAAGAAAGGTTTGGTAATCGTTCTTTGCTGAACATGCTTCAACTCGCATGCGTTTAACTGAACGTGAAGGTTTGATCCACGACAAAACCTTGGCAGCGACGGGACCGTACGATTTCCACACATTGAGGACATTGTTGTAGGAAAGATCATCAATGCAGCATTGCTCGACGTGTTCGAGTAGCGAGAGGAGCTGATCTTTGGATCTTTGGATCTTTGGATTCGTATTCATTCATGGGATGATTACTGCTGTAAACTACGAGTTTCCTGATGTAGAACTCAGCTTTTCTCTTGAGGACATTGATGTGCCAGTTCCTACCAGTTCCAGCTATTAGATTGAACCGTTTACAGGTCAAAGAGAAGCTGTAAAAYGAGCTAAAGTCGTCTAAATAAGACAAAATGTTACACAAGCAATCATCATTCAACGATAAAACCGAGACTAACTCCATTTTCAAGCGAAAGAAGTCACGCAAAGAGAGAACTGACCCGTAACCAAACTTTGTTTCAGCATATAAATGAGCTTCTCTGCATTTGCGTCAGGCGCTCCCGCATTGTAAATAAATGATATCCAAATTGGTAAGTACTGTTTCATTAAGACTGTAAGTACTATTGAATTTCAGCAAGTGCGTTATTCAATGTTACTGTTCATTCTTCATCTGAAGGTCATTTCAAATAATGCTAATGAGTTTGCTAATATTCTAATGAGATTGGCACAAGAAACAAAAGAGCAAAAACATGCTTTCGTGATTTCAGTAACGAAAATCAGTGATAAACTAGTGTGAGCTGCGTCGGCATTTCTAAAGGGAAAATGGGAAAATATTGCTGTTCTTGTCCAACATGTTCTCATTTTTTGATAGCTTTTTCTGGACAGAGTCCATAGTTTTCATGGCCTTTTGTCACATCACTGTTTTCTGACGAGTAGTCTTCAATCTCATTTGCTATCTTTGTTTTAACAGAATCTGACTTGCGTTGACTTGGAGTTAGGCGCCTAGTATACTTCATCTCCATCTTTGTTCAGAATTGGTTTTGATTAGATGCTATCGATGGGTTGTGTGAAGTATGCAATGCTTGTTGTTGTTGTTTTTGTTGTTTTTTTGCATACGGTATATATTGTCAACAGTTGTGGCGTCACCCTCGATGGCTTGTTCCAGTTTGTGTCGAGCTTGCTACTTTTTGCTACTTTTTTAGCAGAAAGAAGATGATTTTATTTGAAACGATTTAGATCAACATTATGAAACGCTTAAAACAAACGAGCTGTTGGTATTCAAAATAAGGGATTTTAATCCTGTAACCCAATAACTGTTTTAAAAATTGTTTCACTCTGATAAAAATGTTTCCGTTTGAATTTTTGTATTTATTGAACTGGGCTCATTCAAAATGATAATATTTTGATTTTCGCTACTGAAATCACTCAAGCATGTTTTTGCTCTTTTGTTTCTTGTGCCAATCTCATTAGAATATAAAACAAACTCATTAGCATTTAAAAAGTGGGTTATGCGAATTCGTTCTAATATAAGTTCCAGGAAACTATAAAAGAAGTGTTTGGAATTTTCCATTATCGCATTTTGTAATAATCAGTTATTATTTAAGGAATAAAAGACAAAATTCCGTGTTTGATACTCTGATCAAAACACGCGTGATGTAGGGAGAGCACGAGAGAAGCGTAGGAAACCACGACGCGTAGCGGAGTGGTTTCCAGCTTTTCAAGTGCTCTCGCTACATCCCAAGTGTTTTGATCAGAGTATCAAACACGAAATTTCGTCTTTTATTTCTTTTCTAAAATTAAAAGAAAAAAAGAAAATTTTGACGTGCGCCAGCGTGTTTTGATACTGTAATCAAACATGGTTTTCGACCAATCACAGCGCGCGTAGTATCCTAAATATTTTAGAAAACTTCTTAATGCTCCAGTTTCGAGATCTTGAATTGAAATCTTATCACCGGCGTTTATTAGATCATTTCCGGTATTTAACATACTTTCCAAAAGTAGAACTTGAGTGTATCGAGTTTTGATGTATTTCATATATAACTAGACCCTGTATGCAGGGTTGACACGTACCCTTTGTTGTGCATGATGTTGTGAGATCATTAGTAAATGAGGCCTTATTAAAACCTTACTGATACAGAATAAAGAAATGATTTGATCCATCGAGCCTTGCCAAGATATATGTGATTTTTGCGATAAGCTTATATGTGGTGGCTCTTAAAATTTCAGCTGTAACTGCNGAAAGTTGGCTACTGAAAACTGTATCTTACTAGTTTTGTTTCATTTTAGGGAAATGAGCCAACAGCTTTGACGGTTCTCACCCAGGCCACTGTATCTTACTAGTTTTGTTTCATTTTAGGGAAATGAGCCAACAGCTTTGACGGTTCTCACCCAGGCCATTAACGGCATCCAGAGGTATTCTGTACAGCTGTTTCAAAAAACGTTGAATACTGAATACATACTGATATCAAGACCGCAATGCATTGTTGATATTAAACTCCACGTTAGCTGCGATCAGTACAAACTGACAATTCTAAACTTAATGCTTTCCATTGAAGTTCTTGACTGTATGGAGGTGTTACAGTCAATATAAACCAGGAAAACTCGTTTTGAAAGGGGATAGAACGACTAACAATGCATTTCGGTCTTGTAATAGACTATCTTCAGTAGTCAACGAAATAGCTGTATTARCGATATGCGCATGCGTGGTTTCAGGGATGAGAGCGTGCTGGGATTGATTAAATCAATAGGAAAACGTATATAGCAAGACTTGTATTTGCTTTATAAGATACTCGCATTTGAACACGAGCTCCTGCATGGCCGATGACGTAAATTGCAACAAGCGATGAAATGAGAGATCAATTAGACGCGTTATGTCAAACTTGTTAGACTCTGTGTCTCGATGTTGCGATTAATGGAGAATCCAATATATTACATTTATCACTTTAGTGGCACTTGGGAGAAACGCACTGCGCATGCGTATGTGTAAACAACAAAATGGCGGTTAATCGTGAAGAGTTCGTACACATAAAAGGCAAATAATTTCTTCTTATATACTAAAAAGTATTATATACTTTAGTAGGGGGTTGAAAATAAGAATGTCATGCCACTGTCATAAGGAAAACCTTAACTTTTCAGTATTTTT